ATTGCTCAAGGGTAACCCCAGGGTATGTGGACCTATGGCTTGCCAGCCCTTCTGGCCCACTTGGGAGATGTGATCAGAGTTACCTATGCCGCTGTTAGTGGTGATGGATTCTATCCAGGGAAACCAGATCTTCTGATATTAAACTGAGAAGCTCCTACTAAGGTCATTATAATTTACTTGTTGGATCAGACCCCCAACTATGGACAGGGACGTCTAATTCCACCTTAACAGAATACATTATTTTGTATTCTGCAGGGACACTGAAGCCTTATGCACACTGGTGTCTGAGGATTCTTGCGGCAAGAACCTGCATATTTGTGCGGAAGGAATGTCAGGTGTGTCTGTATAGATGTGGCCGCTCGGCCTATTCAAGTTAATGACATGGTGACAACAGCCCCATCTATCACTGAGTTTTGTCTGCATGTAATTGTACATAGTATGATTAACAGTGGATCAGGAGAGATGCTTGTCCCGGCACACAGAAAGATTGTCCTTGGATGCTTGTCCCTGGACACAATCTCTATGTCCAGGGACAAACATCTCTCCCAAGCCACAAGTAATCATACCATGTAGACTTCTTCTTTATAAGCCATTAAAGCGGACCTTTACGCTCAAAAATCAAATTCTAACAATGCATCCCTCTATGTATGATGATTAATAATAACAGACATGTCAGGTGTAAAATGGTGTGATTATGAAATACTTACACTTGCAGAACATTCACTTCCTGCTTTGAAAGGGCCAAATGACTTCAGTTTGCCAAAGCAATGCACACTGGGATTACGTTGTCATCAGCAGAGCATTGCAAGGAAATCTCATCTGTAATCTCACGAGATCTCACGGAAAGGCATTTTCCTCCCCTAAGATGATGTGCATGGTCACATGTCCTAATCACATGTGCCAGTAATCCAGGAAGAAATAGGAGAGCTGGTAATCTGCACTTAGTAAACATGGCCACTGTCAGTACACCGATCTCCTCCCCGTACTATGGACCGGGAGCGACGCGTATTGCAT